CCCCAAAACCCCAAAACCCCAAAACCCCAAAACCCCAAAACCCCAAAACCCCATTTTTTATGCATAAAATTGAATTCGAGCAAATTAATAGCCGTTTTTATGAGTAACAATAGGCAACAACTGATGGTTCTTAAATTGTGAAATATTTCCAGTGACAATCAAGTTAATGTCTTTAAATCCTTCATTCTTCTTTATATTGGTCATACAAGAGGAACTAATAGAGTCTCCAGTAACATGCAGTTTTTGTAAAGATCTTCCTAATAATGAGTTTGCTATTCTATCCAAAATGAATTTAATTTGATTCTCGTCTCTTTGTCAGTCAACTTGACTCGATATACAGTTTGTAAAGCAAAGTTCTCTTATCTTGTACTGAACTGGTTCCCGAATGATGAATCCTTTCTCCTCAATAGAGCATCTTCAGAAAGATATTTTATCCACATTCTTAGACTCTAAAAGGATTCTAGAAAGCTGCTTTCCGCGTATCTTGAAATAATTAAGAGAGATAACTCCGGTGACTCTTGAAAGTAATCTTATCAAACTGCTCTTAAAAATGTTGAATGCATCAAATCCTGCTTTCAGCCTGAAGTCAATATGGAGTCATTTCATTCTTTTAGGAAAAGCGTTTATTAACTTATCAAATTTATTCTCTGGATGCCCTGTGTTTTTTAAGCCTATCATAATCTCAAGTGCAGGCATCCAATCCTGGGCAACTCAAGTGCCAGCCCACTTTCTGAAACAACCTTGCTTGTTCATCACTAATTTGGTATCTGAGCAAAATAGGCTTGGGAGGACTTCTCCTTGGGGCTGAGGAATAGGCTTATAATTTAAAGTTTAGCAAAATAAGTAATTTTATATCAAAAGACCAGTAAAGTTGATGAAAAGGATCCAAAATCTTATGAATTTGGAAAATGGTCAAGATAGGATTTGATCTTGAAAAGAGTATATTATTGTAACACCCTTAAAATTGACTCAAAAATACAAATTTTATTACAAATCAATGAACTAATCTTATTTTATTCTGCTAAATTTACCTTCAGATGCTTAGCATTCCGACTAACTCTCTTGAAAATTCTTGGAGTATGATTATCTTTGATAAGCTCTTGGATCCTATAATGCATGGCCCTTTCCTCATTTAAAAGGCCAATTTCAAAGCTTCTCTTGTGAGATCTGCTGGACTTCTTTAAGCTATTTTCCATGGTTGTTATGAATATAATTAATTTATTTCCTCAATCTTATTCACAATAAAAGGGGTTTTGGGGTTTTGGGGTTTTGGGGTTTTGGGG